ACATAGGACCATGGGATGTTAGTTCAGGGGAAAAGTTGCTTTCAAGAAATTTTAGAGTCTGGAATCTTGATGCAGGCCCGATGGCCTTAAAGGTGCGTCTGCTTCTGGATTATGCACTACTCTTTCAACCTTACTGATATGATCCGAAATTTGAACCAATGTCAATTATTTCAGGAAGCTCTGGTCAAAGATTCATATGTATCTGTTAATCGTATCCGATAGAGTCCTAATGGTTCTATATTTGGTGAGAATGTTCTCATACTTAAATGGTATGGAGTTGCTGATTTTCATTTATTGTAGTTCATATTCACTGCCGTCGTGTTCTTCATTGAACAGGGGTTGCATATGCAAAGCGCATTGTGCAATTATTCTTATAATGGAGGCAACAACAATTGGAAGTAAGTTATGAAAAAGAACACATAAATTCTCAAGGAAACTGCAACTTTTGAGTATATGACCTATAAATCTAACCCATCATTTTTCTTACGTAGATTGATGCTCACTTGGGAAGTGTAAATGATTTTGGCATTCTTTTCCCCTCACGACCAACTTTTGGTCATAACTTGTGCTGATGACAAGACCGTCAAGGTTGGTTTCATTAATGTATGTTTAAGGTTTGGGATGTATTTTGTGGCCAAAGACTGTTTCTTTTGAAGGTCATGAAGCTCCTGTCTATTCTGTCTATTCTGTCTATTCTGTCTGTCCTCATACCAAAGAAAATGTCCATGTAAGGGCCACTTTGGGTATTGATGTTTTGGTTCTGGTGATGTTTTTGTTTTGAATCATCTGATTTACTTTCCGGTTCCTGCAATATATTATCCAACACTTTTTTTCATGCTTCATGCCTCAGTTGTCTTTTCAACATCAGTGGATGGCAAGATCAAAATATGGTTATATGATAGCTTTGGAGGCAGTGCTGTACCAAACTGGCTCATAGTGCTGATGTTCGAAGGTTCAACTTATATGGCCTGCACTGCAATTGCCATCTTTTATTTCCTGATTGATATCTTCGGGTGAATATAGTAATGTTAGTTTTGATTGGGATCATGTGGGCTTTTTTTCATGTGGGATCCGCCAAGGAGGGAAACAATCAGAGTCACAAGCGACCAAGAACAAAAGACAGATATGTTAACATGAGATATAGCAGATGAACCCTGGAGATGATAAGTACAGCTATGTTAACATGAGATATAGCAGATGAGCACAAGAACAAAAGACAATTATAAATGACACACAAATTAAGTGTTATGTTTGTTTTAGGTGAACCTGGAGATGATACTTAGGGTTGAATCCCATACTCAAACTCATACAGATCCGACTATGGAGATCTAACCAAACATGTTACCATTGAAATTGAATGAAAATATGGAAAAATGGGTACAACTAGTCAACCAATGGATCTCCCTGTCCCCATCCATTTCATGTTTATGCATTCTTTAACTCATGTCCTGCAGATAACACATAAAACAACAAAAGTGGATGCTTATTGAATGTAAACAAGCCAAACTGGCTCATAGTGCTGATGTTCAAAAGGTTCAACTTATATGGCCTGCACTGCAATAGCCATCTTTTATTTCCTGATTGATATCTTTGGGTGAATTAATACAGTAATGTTAGTTTTGATTGAGATCATGTAGGCTTTTTTTCATGTGGGATCCGCCAAGGAGGGGAACAATCAGAGTCACGAGCGACCAAGTGTAAACACATGGATTTGTTTTTTAGTTTTTGATATTAAGAGAGATTACATGAGCCGCAACTAAACCAACATCTTCCATTGCAAAAATGCGATGAAGTGAACATTGAACTCCTATCAAAGACTTTTTTGATATTTATTTTGTTCGAACTACACCAATATAAGAAATCCAGGCCTTAGGTAGAAAATATTAAAGTTCGAACTTACGCCCTCATCTTGGAAGGACTTGTTCCATCAGCACCACCAATAATTGAAATGCTCTTGATCTTGACATCTGATGTAATTGTATCAGAAATACATTAACAAAATATAACTCAATCAGAATGTAATGTAACGACATCAGAGATAACTTCATCTAGAATGGTAGGTTTTAATAAAATTTCTCAAGATGCAACACTAATGTTTCAAAAAGCTATGTTAACATGAGATATAGCAGATGAGCACAAGAACAAAAGATCATAATTATAAATGACACACAAATTAAGTGTTATGTTTGTTTTAGGTGAACCTGGAGATGATACTTAGGGTTGAATCCCATACTCAAACTCATACAGATCCGACTATGGAGATCTAACAAAACATGTTACTATATCTCAACCAATGCTTCAACAATTTTTTGGCCGAAGATGAGGGTTTTCCTCTTCTACAGCAGCTATATTATCTTGCATCTCTCTGGGAGTTTTTGATTTACTCTTTTTGCCCATCTTACGAATCCAAAAGCTGCATTCCACCCAGATTACATTACTGAGAATTGACAAAAATGAAATTTAAAAAGAAAAAAATTCAAAAGAAGAGATGACTCAACAATTGGAGCCCCCAGAAAGCAGCATACTCCTTTTGGCTCAGTTAACCAGACCAACTCAGTTTGTAACTAAACTAATCAATACAACAAAAGAAACATGAAACTGAATATTCAGGTAAGAGAATATTTGTTCTTCATCAGCTTCCTAGCAACCAAACATAACATAAACCAAAACAGAAAACGGAAAATACTGATTTTCAGAGATGCCTTTACGTTGTTGATAAACGTGAGTCGCTAAAACCCGAGCTTGATGCATTTGCAGAGATGCCAGACCCGCCAGGAAAAAAGAAATCTGCCATCAGGAACTACAACTTGATGAGTTTGTGACACACGAGATCAGGTTTGAAGAAATCAACAAAGCTTTTGATTTACTCATTGAAGGGAAATGTCTCCGATGTGTAATCTATATGACCAATGAATAACTTCTGTTAGAAACAGCCTGTACTTTAATATAAACTCTACGCTAATTAACAATAAGCAAGCAAAGGTTTCAGTGTTTAAGTAAATACTCCTGTTTTAAAAAACCTTTAACCCAAGAATTTCAGCGTTTAAGTAACCTAAACTCCTTAAATAATATATTTAAACGGTAAAGCCGGGCGGCTATACCTTTTTTTATATTTTTTTATATTTTTTAAAGGGGACCTAAGAAGCTGCCACCGATACCAACAGCAATGACATCCTTCAGGGCTTTTCCTGTGGCACCAACCTACCAGAATTGCCAATTACTTCACAATTCAGGCAATATGGACCCAAAATGGATACTGAAAAAAATTGTAGTGATTACCCAAAATCCACTTCGAAATCTCTCAGAAATGGATCTTGTCCAGAACTTCCCAAACATCTAGGACCACATTTTTCCCATCACTCTGTATAACTGCATCCCTTGGAGCATGAAGAGCTACATGAAGCACTGTTCTATTTTCTGTGCTGTTTATCTGAAGGCACCACCCAGAAAAAGAAAAACAGAATGCAAAAGAATCACATGATAATGGCTTCATAAATAAGCTAGTCTCATCTTTACCATAAATCCTATAAAGCTATCAAATATAAGTTATTGTGATTTCAGGGGGCTTTTCCTGTGGCACCAACCGATACAATACAATCTCCACTCAGACGAGGTAGTTTGTTTGTTCTTGTTTAAAAAACAAAAAACAAATCATGCTCGATGTTGTGATGAAGCAAACCCGAAAGTTTGTCATTGCCATGATTTATATATTTTGCAGGTTACAAGGAAGCTTGAGGGTCACGCCAAAAGAGCCACTAGCCTTGCCTTCTCGAACACTCTGAATGTGCTAGTTTCTTCTGGTGCTGATGCATATTGGAAACTACAATTGCTTTCAGACATGGCTTCTACTCTAATGTGACTTCTGTTATTTAACGACGTCATTTTGGCCCTGCAGATTTTTGTGTGGGGTGCTGCTGGGTGGGAAAAACAGAGAAGCAAATTGAAAGGGATGAAATAATGATCGAAACCAATATTCTAGATGCAGTTAACTGAAGAGCTGGAGCCAAACTTATGAGCAATGAAAAAGAACCATTTTGCAGTCTAGGTAAACTAAGTTTAATTCTTCAAAAAAAGACCCTCACATTTTTCCTCTCAACCTGATTTGATGTCTCCAATATGTCAATATGAAATAGAAATAACAATCGCTACGCGACGAATATCTATTTCCAGATCAAAAAGCAAAATTTCCTTGAGGCCATTGACAAGTGGGAACATTTTTTGAAGCTTCTTATAATCTATACATAAACAATCGTTAAAAAAAATACCATGTTCTGCATGTTTTTGGTTCATTCTTGACAGCAATTGTCACTCCAAGGCGTTAGATATCCTCTTGAAGGATCTCAAAGTTTTTGCCGAAGGTAATGAGGAGCTGTTCCAAGAAATGCATCAAATGTGTATGGGTTCAATCCAACAGGGATCATAAGGCACTCTCTATGCGTGGAGATATAATGTCTATGATGAAGACTATGATGAAGGAAAATGCTAGATCATTATTCATTATCATATAAATAAGGTACAACAAGCACCATATATGTATCTCTTCAATATGATTGATATATTTGCCAATGATCCTCGTACAACAACTTGTATAAGAATTGAAGAAATATTATTACATAACATTCTATAGTACTATTAGCTACTACATTTTCACATCAGAAAAATACTAAATTCAAAATTCAAAAAATCACTGCTCTTATCATTGACCTCGAGCGTCTTGCCATCTGTTGGTACTAAGCAATGAATCCTATCCTTTATCTACAATTAAGAATCATACAAGACATCAACCATATAGAAAGGATGGCATTCTTCATGCTGTTCTCTGAGTTGTAAGTGACATGTTGCAGGACTTTCATCTGAGAAGTGCTGCAGAGAAGGATTCGATCAACTGTTATGTTGTATGGCACATTTGAATCATGATCCACTGGGGAAACAACAGGCGGCTGCTGGAAATGATTACTGTTTAGATGATCATTTCCTTCATTCTCATTGCCATGAAAGGGCTGTGGTTGTATTTCAGTGCTCATGTCATTTATATTGACAGGGAAGCTTGTATTGCAGCCAGCACCAAGCAGGGTGTCTTGCTCCAGTGAAATGTTGCATTGGGATGTGATATAATCAATCAATTGTTGGTCTTCAGAGACCTATGAATTTGACAGTTACAAAAAAAAAAAAAAAAAAAAACTATTTGTGAGAGATGTGACCAAAATAAAATTTCAAATCTAACATAAGAAATTAAAGCAAGGTTTGAGTGAAGCATCATAAAATATCATACATCTTTGGAGACAAACAGCTCAATCAACCTTCTGCACTTGGAACCAAAACTCTGGTCCCATCTCTTTCCTGCAAAATGTAAGTAGAAATACACAGTTACATTTAATTATATGTTCAGAAAAGGACTTTCTTTTGGGACTAGCTAGGGAAAATGGGAACTTGTGAGCTCACTGCCATGGCACTTGAATCTCTCTTAGAAGATGAGTTCAACCAAATGGGCTGGTTTGATATTAATGGATGTGCATAAATCCTGCTCATGAGCAGCCTTGGTTAAGGATATAAAAAAAACTAATTAATTTCTTTTGTCAAGATATGTATGGTGGTAATTGGTAATTATGATTGAATGAGTAAACAAAAATGCTAAAATGAAAAGGATATATAGGTGCCCAGAGTCTAAGGACAGAGAAGAAGGAAGCTGGGCAAGA